GATCGAGCATGTACTAGTTTCCAGCTCACCACCATCTATAATGAGCCTTTAAACACAAAATCTTAAATTCGCAAAATAATTTGAATATGTCGTCATTATATCGTTGTGAATTGGTTAAATACATGGCGCATGGGGTCAACTGAAAACTACCACTAGCATCACTGGCATAGAAGAAATAAAAAAAAAAAACTCATGGCTATTTTCTGAATTTTGCCATCACCATTTGGAAGATATTGTAAATACAGAACTGCTGGACTATTTCATAACTATATTATGAACTAGCAAAAGTGACATTGATGCTGGAAAAGAAAAATCACTATACTATTGAATGATGTGCTACAACAAACATAAGAAGAATCTGGCTTTTACAACAGTCCATGCATAATTATGTTAGAGCAGGAAACAGTGAACTTCTAAAATGTATAAGCTATCAAACTCCACCTGGATTCCTGTCATCATTATAACCTATTAATATTGTTTATTTAACCTTTTCATAACATTCCATGCCTAAAATCTCAGGAAAAAAAAAGTTGAAAAACTTTTACAAAGTTCTACATGAAAAAGTTCAGAGCATATGTAGAAGTGATTTTAACAACGTACCATCTTGGCTTCCACCATTTTTAAATGGAAATAATTTTTGCATTTATCTGTTTGTTTTAGCAGTTAGTGGATTTACAAGTTCCCTTCAGAATGATATGCTACACATTTGTTTTGCAGCTGATAACAGAGAAAGAGACTAAAGACTCAAAGAACCCATCTTTAGGGTAACAGGGAAAAAAAAATAATAATAATAATAAAATAAATGAAAAACATTTTGCAAAAATAATGAACAATACTTATCATGCTTCTTGAATCATATAATCTTAAACTTGTTTAAGCGCTTGATTTTGGGGAATTGTTTTATTTCATTACCAATTTTATGTTGTACTATTTTAAAGAGCTGTTTCTACATTTATTGTTACTTCTCTAACATGTCTTTAAAAATGTGTCAAATTATTGTTTTATATTGTTTTATTAAAATATTTTCCAAATATTTATGTTCTGTGGGAGCTCATGCACCTTATTATTTACAAATTCCAGAAGAGTTGGAACAGTACATAAAGAAAAACAGAAAGCTGTTATTTGTATATCCACTTTGACCTCATTTTAAACAAAAGCAGAACAAAAACAAAACAAAGACAAGATTGAGACTCAGCGCTTTGCCATCTTTGCAAATAATCCAGCGGTTTAAGAAGAGTGGGCCTCATTCCTCAACCATTATTAAGAAGAAGTTTCTTCTTAAACTCACATATAGGTGGTTTTACAGCTACGGCTTTTAGACACAATGAACCATCGAATTGTATTAATTCTGAAAAACCAGCTTCACATCTGATTCTGAGATAGGAAATCTAGGACATGAAAGCTCTAACACAGGGCCAAGGTTTGTGTCCAAATGCTCAGCTGATGGTATACCTGACAGTGCTGTCTTTCCTGTAATGGCCCCAATGCGCATGTCCAGCTCAGAATACTCCAAACAACTGTTTCCCCTTTTTCTTTTCTGTGCTTGGTGATAGTTTTTTTTTTGGCCTCAGATTTGAGATCAACCCATTTCTTTTTATTTCATCAGTTCTACTCCCTTCTCCAGATAATGTGTTTACTGAAAAAGTAATATCCAATATGTCCAATCCAATATGTTTTTGTACCATTTTCTATTTATCACATTGATCGCATTTATCACATTCTGTTTCTCTTAGCACTTCACACACAATATATCATTCATATTTAACAGTAAAATATATTTAAAAATGAACTCTTCTAAATACAGTCATGTGAAGAAGTAAGTAAACCCCATGAAAAGTTTAAGACTTTTTCAACATATTTGAAGATACAGATATCAAGTCTTGATTTAAACAGTGTTGATAGATAAAGGTGAACTTAAAAAGTGACATTTACAATGAACATTTTTGGGGGGCTCCCGAGTGTTACGCTCCCTGGGTAGGCAGGATGTCCCCCTCCCCCCATCACCCAGCACAATGCCAGTCAGTGCAGGTGTCTGTTGGCTGACAGTTGCCACCTTCCTTCCTAAAACATGTGGAAGCTGGTTTCTCAGGTCTCGGAGGAGGTCTTTCCTAGCCTTCACCCTCCTAGCACTAGCAGTATTATGTAATTGAGGGAGTCCTAACTAGTCGGATATGACTCCATAGGGGAGAAAAATGGGGAAAACCAAAAAAAAATGATTAACATCTTTTGAATCTTTTAGATAATAGAAATAAATAATAACGCAGATTTTAAATGGAAAATGTCAGTACATGTGTCACATTTGTCTACATTTAAATGTGTCAAATTAAAATCAGGTGCACCATCAAAGAATATTTTGGAGGACATTTTTGTCTTATTTAAACCTCCGTCATCTGGCCTGGTTTGCTATTTGTTGTTGGAGTGTGTGGTATCATCATGCCTAGATCAAAAGAGCTTTTGAAGGCCTTCAAGCCAGGCCTGCTTGAAACAGCATACTTAAAGTAAAAGGAGCATTGTTAGCACATACTTTGGCCACCATCAGAGCAACTGTATGAGGTACTGACACAGTGTAACAGAGGCTAGAATGGAAGACTTTCTCTCCATCTGACTCATAGATTTCTACACTGATCTCTGACTCTTGCTCTGTTATCAAGACCACATGTTTTGGATTATGATATCTTCGTGGAAAGCAGGAAGGCTTTGAAGTTAAGGACCCATAGATTTACTAGTGTTAGCTGACTTGGTGCTTATGCTGCAAATGAGATCATTATAACTGCAGTGAATAACAGGTCATCAAATAGTTCGTGGGAATCTAAATTTAAGAAAGAAATTAGGACGATATTGGTGAATGAGTTCCCTGAACGAGTCACCCTCTATGGTGCATGATATCATCTAAAATTCAAGTAATCCAGGTATCTTCAAAAGGCCAAGGCTAAACCTATAAAATGCCTGTGGCCATCCATCCCTCACTGAGCACTGCATTAAAGACCAGCATGCTTCTGTGATGGATATTACCGACATGGGCTACGGAATACTTTGACAAACCATTGTCAATAAACACTGTTCATCGCTGAATCCACAAATGCAAGGTAAGATTATTACCATGTACAGTGGAAGCCTTAAGTCAACGTCATTCAGAAATGCTGCCGACTTCTCTCGGCTTTGCCGGAGGTCATCTGAAATAGAGTCTTCAGTCCCGAACATTAAGTGCTGTTAAAAGGAAAGGTGATCCAACACAATGGTAAACATGCTCCTGTCCCAACCTTTACAAAAACCAATGAAGTCTTTAAGGTAGAACAAAAATCTTCCTACGTTTTTTCTTAAATTCGTTCTTGGCAAAAGTCGGCAGAAAAGGTCTATGTCAGATTCATGATTTGTGTTCTTAAATCACAGAATTGTTTGCGCCTTTGAGCTCTTGAGTTGAGATTCTGTTCTTACCTGAAACAACCAAAATGGCTAACCGAGAGTAACAGAGGCTAGAATGGAAAAGTTTATCACTACCTGACTCATAGATCTCTACACTGATCTCTGACTCTTGCTCTGTTATCATTAGTGTTTTGGATGATGAATTCTCTGTGTAAAGCAGCAAGGCTTTGAAGATTTGCTAGCCTTAGCTGATTTGGTGCTTATGTTGTAAATGCAAATGAGATCATTATAACTGCGGCGCATCACAGACCATAAAACAGTTTGCGGGAATCAAATCCTGAGATTTCCAGTTTTCTAATCGTGTACTGTGTCGCCGCATTGCTGGACAATTTGGCTAGGAGCAGGACAAATGGTGATGATTTTCTGCAGGAGCAGGATGAAATTCTGTGGGAATGGGACTAAAAAAAATTATAGAGACCTCTGGATCAAAGCAAAAGTAAAAGGAGAAAGTAACAAGCAGCATCGTCACGATCTTGAGCCTTTTTGACAAACCCCAAAGTAAGGTTTATACCTCTCTGGCAATATGCTCTTGATCGTTATTGCAATTGTGGGAACAATTTATTTGTTTGGATAAGATGATTATGTTAAATGGCAGCTGGCATGCTAAACTCAAGATAATGCAAACTAGCATGATTGTCACCGAGGCCTTTTGAATGGAAGATACTGCTGAACATGTTGAGGGATATGTTAAAGAACATAAACTTGAAGAACTCAGAGATCCTGTTTGACCATCTAGAGCAGCAATGGCAGGAAGAAGCAGAAAATGAAATAAGACTTGGCCAGACATGAGATAATTACCTTTACAAACTGGCACAGTCGACCTTTAAGGCATTTTACTGTCGTTCCTCAGTGCATTGCTTTCACTAGTGCCCCACTACAGTCATGAGGAAAAAACATAAAGCCATAAAACTTAACTCATAAAGTTCCTGTTAACCCCTGCGTGTGTATATATATATATATATATATGATATATATATATATATATATATATATATATATATATATATATATATACATATTCACTGACTGTCCACTCTATAGACTCTCCTACTTTGTTGGTCCACCTTGTAGATGTAAAGTCAGAGACAGTAGCTCATCTGTTCCTGCACAGTTTGTGTTCTCTATTCCTTCATCAGTGGTCACAGGGTGCTGTTGGCTGAATATTTTTTTTTTTTGATCGACTATACTCAGTCCAGCATTCGCACTGAGGTGTTTAAAAACCTGATCCACCACTCAAATAATACCTGCTCAGTGGTGGTCCTGTGGGGGTCTTGACCATTGAAGTACAGGGTAAAAGAGGGCTAACAAAGAACGCTGGAATGCTAAAAACAGATAGACTACAGTCTGTAATTGCAGCACTACAAAGTGCACCTATACGGTGGAGCTGATAAAATGGACAAAGAGTGTAGAAACAATTAGGCGTTTTTAATGAAATGGCTGTTCATTGTGTATGTGTATATATATATATATATATATATATATACACACACACTAGAATGCAAACTAGCATGATTGTCACAGAGGCCTTTTGTGTGTTTGTGTATTTGTATGTGTAAAAGCACTATAGCTACATATGTATATATAAATGCTATATACACATAAATGATTTCAGTTACCACAAAATACAGCAACTGGTCTGAGTACAGAGCTAGCAGTAGGCATACATAGACATATGCAAGTTTATTTAACAACACATCAACCACTGAGCAGCACAATGTCTCAAAGTCTCCACACAGCAGGGTTAGTTTTACATCCTGTTATGATTGTCTCCAAAATAGTATTGTTCTGATATCAGCTCATTCACCTTGTGGTTAAAAATAAATGTTCCATGTTTGACACAGCCTCCATTAGATATATTTCCAATACAACTGTTGTCCATTACAGTTAACTTCACCAGTGTGGTAAGTTGAAATGTTTGCACTCACACCACTTTCATCTGAATTTTTTTTTACAGTTGGTCGATGGAAGCAAAGGTTTACATTTAAAGCAGACACTTGCTGGCTGTTTTTAATACTAACATTGCTCAAGGCTACTATTTAAATTATTGGCAGTTGAAAGCTTGCTTTCCCCAGTGCTGGTAGTGCCTGTCCCTCGGAGAGTGGACTTGTCCTCCTCATCCTCAATTGCATTCTCAATCTTTGTCAAAAGCGCATAGCATTGGCGTTTAAAGTCCTTCCCCATGAATGCATAAAGAAGTGGGTTCAGACAGCTGCTAGCATTGGCAAGAATGAGGGCAATTGTAGATCCTGAAATAATAAAATGCGGATATTTTGTGTAATTTAGTTCCATTAAAGCAAAAATGTGATATGGCAGCCAGCAGACGAAGAAACTAGCAATCAGCGCCGTCATGATCTTGAATGGCTTTTTGGACTTCGCCATCTTGGTGGGCTTCAGCTTTCGTATGATGACAACATAACAGATGACAATGATCAGGAACGGGATCACAAATCCAATAATGAAGTCACATGTCACATCAGCGGTGTGCTCTTGACTGTTTGAGTAATTGTAGAAAAAAAATTTTGTCTCCTGGTGGTCATCTTGCTGAACTTCTTGGGAAATGGTTGATGGCAAGCAATATGCAGCTGAGATGATCCAAGCTAACATGACTATCACTGAAGCCTTTCTGACAGTACGCTTGTTCTGAGCCCACACAGGAAACATGACGACCACACAGCGGTCCACGCTGATGATGACGAGGAGGAAGATGCTGCTAAACCAGTTGAAGTACATGCTGAAGAACATCAACTTGCACATGAAGTCCCCCAAGAACCACTCACGTTTGACTATATAGACGATATTAAAAGGCAAGAAGGAGCAAAACAGGAAGTCAGACACCGCCAGACTCAAGTACCAGATGCTGATGACTGACCTCTTCATCTTAAATCCTGCAATCCAGATCACCAAACCATTTCCAGCAACACCCAGGATGAAGATGATCACATTTGTTACTGTGTAGAAAATACTCAACACCGTCCAAAGTGGTTCTGTTTCTTGTGTGGAATTCATGATGCCTCTAGTTTCTGTAAAGCAAGCAAACAAACAAAATTGTAGCTCCGGCTTACTTACAAAAAAAACATCAGATGTCTATGAGGTGTCAGATTTGTACAGGTTTGAAAGGCACAACCAACAGAAACTCTATCAGTTAGAGAACACCTGTTGACAGTTCCCACACACTGATGATAATCTTTAAGGTTTAACGTTTTGTCACGTCCTTGACATCCTTGGTGATTTCCACCCTTATCTACAGAGGTTTTTCCTGCTGTTAATGATGATTGCCTCATGCCTGCAGCATATTTCACATCTGACCATCATTTTCATGCCTTTTGAACTATTAATTAAATGAAACAATTGTGCTGTCTGCTTTGTTTCTGGCAGTTTGACAAATAATATTTAACGCACTGGACAGAAATTAAACAATACAAAACTGTATTTCTGACTTTTAAATGTGCAATGGTTCCTCCTTTGCTGTGATGAATTATGGGGTTGACAGTATGACATGAAACTGTATGACTGTAGGATGGGAAAGAACTCTGAAACATTGGACTGGATTTATGCCTGGCATATGCTTTAACTCCTTCAAATCCCAGGTTTATTATATGCTAAGGCTTATAATTCATTACCCTCAGGGACATCATTGCAAACTAACAGAGCTATTCTTAGAAGTTATAGAAGTGTGTAATAAAACGTTGGGGCCATAAAGCTGGACCATACTTGAATACGAGTAGGACTGAGGACGAGAGAGGAGATGGAGTGGTAAATAATAAAAAAAAAAAATGTTCTGAGGTGCTGGATTGTGTTTGGATGTATAAGTAGTATGTGCGAGAAAACAGGAACGAGGTGAGGCAAATGGTCCTTGGGCTCCTGAAGATGCTGCCTGATTTACAAGTTTTGTCATGAGAACTTCAACAACTTAGGGAGATCTGTGTGGGAAGTGAATGAACTACAACCCCATTTCCAAAAAAGTTGGGACACTGTGCAGAATGTAAATAAAAATAGAATGCAATGATATGCAAAACATGTAAATCAAGCTAATCTCCTTTGTCGTATTTTTCATTTCATAATGTGGCAAATCAGTGGGTGACAAGTCTGGACTGCAGGCAGGCCAGTTTAGTACCCAGACTTTTTTAATACAGAGCAATGCTGTTGTAATACATGCAGAATGTGGTTTGACATTGTCTTGCTTAAATAAGCAAGGCCTTCCCTGAAAAAGACGTCATCTGGATGGCAGCATATGTTGCCAAAACATATATATATCATTCCGCATTAATGGTGCCTTCACAGATGTGTCCCATGCCATGTGCACTAATGGACCCCTATACCATCATGAATACTGGCTTTTGAACTGAAGCTGAGTTGTTATTATCCTGAAGGACACAGCGTTTATGATTTATAAAAAAAAATTATATGTTGATTTTTTGGACCACAGCACACTTTTCCACTTCCCCTCTGTCCATTTTAAATGAGCTCGGGCCCAGAGAAGGTGGCAGCATTTCTGGATCCTGTTTATATATGGTTTCTTCTTTGCGTTTTACAGTTTTAACTTGCATTTCTGGATGCAGCGATGGACTCTTTTCACAGACAGTGGTTTTCAGAAATGTTTTTGAGCCCAAGCAGTGATTTCCACTCCAGAATCGTGTCTGTTTTTAATGCAGTGCCGCCTGAGGGCCCAAAGATCATGGCCAGCAAATACTGCTTTTTGGTCTTGTCCCTTACATACAGAGATGTCTCCAGATTCTCTGGAATTCTTAATCTTTTAATGTTATTATGTATCGTAGATGATGAAAAGCAAAGACTATTTTCAATGAAATATAGGGTTTAAATGATTTGCACATCATTGCATTTTGTTTTTATTTACATTTTGCACAGCATCCCAACTTTTTTTGGAAACTGGGTTGTAGATTCAGAATGAAAGATGGTTTAAATGGTAGAGCATTTGAGTGAGATAGTAATTTAGCTAGAGCAGATAAAGAGATAGACTAGTCACATTTGCCTGTATTGTTGCGCTTAGAGGTGAAAGCAGTGTGCTGTTGTTGAGGGTTGTGAGATCAGAAAGGAAAAGATGATTGGGTCTAACGGCCTAATGAGACAGTCAAGGAGGACAGCGGCAAGGAAAAAACCCTAAGATAAATAGAAGTAACCATAAAAGGTGATGGTGTCAGATGAGCAGGGAATAATGGCACTTCAGGAAAGGTGGACCATCTGGTGGAAAGGTAAGACAATATGAGACTGAAGGTCTGGAGGGGTGAGAAATGATCTGTGGTCACGACACATCACTACTGATTACAGTACAGTCCAATTTGAACTCGCATCTGTGCTCAAAGTATCCCTTGGTAAAGGAATACTTGGCAATAAAATTGCATAGGAACATTAGCCGGGTAAACTAGAACAGAAGCAGTCATGTAACAGGATGAACAGACAGGATGTTGTGATGTCAGCCTGTGTTGCAACATAGTGGTGTTATTGCATAGAATACAGTGCAAAGCTCCTGGCTAATGGCCAATTAACCTCCTCTGTTGCAGTGTGAAGTCAGGCCAAACAAAGTATTTTGTCAAGGTACAGTGTCCCTAAATCGTGGGTGGGTCAAAGTCCACTGCCATGGTAAAAAGTGACCTGTCTGGCAGCAAAGTCAAACGTTTTCACTGCAATGCAAAGTCTCACAGCTGGTACTCAGTGGACGATGGAAAATTCCCAAGCCACCAGGGACCATTCAAAATATTACAAATCACAAATACACCACAAACAGTGAAACTGTAAACTCTGTAAATTGGCAATTTTTTACACTGGACACACATCTGGGCTGATGTTTAAGTGGATCCAATTGAGGCAGCATTAGCCAGAGTTGCAGGAACAGTGAGAATGGACATTTGTCTGGATGTCGGACGAAGTGATTCAGGTTGAAGGAGCGAGCTGGGTTCCATGTTGAGAGGAAAGTGCAGGTGTGCTGTGTGGCATGCAACACCTGCAGTATTGACACTTTAGCTTAAGGTTAGATGAAGTCATATTCTCCCACTTTTTCCTCTCTGTGTTTTTCTTCCATATGAACACACATTAAATCGCTTTCTGTGATGGTGAACGCAACTTGTGAGCTGTGCAGCTGTGTTTTGGTTTTGATATTCTTCTGGATATATTTTAAACCAACGTTCGAGTCCAGTTAACACAATCTCTAAAATCACTTCTAATGAAAGTCACATCAGTCGACAAATACTCAACTTACTCTCTAAGGGCGGTTTAAAGTTTAATTTCACAGATTAAATTTATCATGTACATTTTATAGGCAACTAAAATACAAGCTAACAATCCTTCTAACTGTATATGTATATAAGTGTTATGAGATTAAAATTGCCCATGTCTGAATCAATCAAACTGGCTGAAATTCAAGCAAGTCTCAGGTTCCTATACACCAAAATACACAAGGCTTGCTGTCTGTTTATATTTGAATGGAAGTGACTCACCTTCAGCTGCTTTGGCACAGTGCTGCAGAGCTGGTAGCTTTCTTGCTTATTTACTTTTGTTAACTGTAAAGTCTGACGCTCAATTTCTCTCTGTGCAAATGTTGTAAACCACAACCCCTCGTTGCTACAGCCCGCCCACTGTTCAAATTGCGACACTGCTTGGTGGCTCAGTTGTGTGTATGGATCTCAGAAATGTCCTCTTTTCTATAGGCCTATAGCATAGCATTAGACTGAAGTAGCTAAATAACTCTCTAATACGTGCAAAATGGGATGGGGCTGAGGCCATTGCCACAGTAACAGATGCCAACGAGACAGGCACACAGTGTCAGAGGACCTGCCAACATTGCCACCAAGTGGACGAAAAAGGAACCTCACACCATGGAAATGCAATGCTGGAATATACACCAATCAGGCATAACATAATGACCACCTCCTTGTTTCTACACTCATTGTGCATTTTATCAGCTCCACTTTGTTGCGCTTGTCTGAGTGGATCAGACACAGCAGTGCTGCTGGAGTTTTTAAACACCTCAGTGTCACTGCTGGACTGAGAACAGTCCACCAACCAAAAATATCCAGCCAACAGCATCCTGTGGGCAGCGTCCTGTGACGACTGATGAAGGACTAGAGGATGACCGACACAAACTGTGCAGCAGCAGATGAGCTATCATCTCTGACTTTACATCTACAAGGTGGACTGACAAGGTAGGAGTGTCTAATAGAGTGGACAGTGAGTGGACACAGTGTTTAAAAATTCCAGCAGCACTGCTGTGTCTGATCCACTCGTACCAGCAAAATGGACAATGAGCGTAGAAACAAGCAGGTGGTCATAATATAAGCCTGATCAGTGTAGCCCCTCTGTGTCATAGCTGACAGGAGCTGTTTTGGCACCTATGGCCACAACTGCTTTTTATTGTAAGTAGTATATAAACTAATTTTATCTAAATTTTACCATTACATGTTTACATTTGCAAGCTGTGTGTAGATTTTTAATCTTTAAAATGCTTCATTGAGCATGTTTGTGTTTTTTATTTATGTTTATAGTTTTTTGATCCAATATGTTGACACAGTATGTCATATGTGAAGGCATATAAGTGATGTTGTGCTGAAAAAAACATACCAAACATTGACATGGTACATAGTTTTTAATGTGGTATATAAAGGAATCAGTAGTATTCAAAAATGACCACAACAGCCCAAGACCCGTAAGGGTAAATCTTGTTATACATTATTTTTAAAATGATGTAAATTTTGCTATAATGCTGATAGTGGAACTGGCCACCTTGCATGAGAAGAGAAGCTATATTAGCTGTAGCTTGGGAGGACCTTCCTTGAAGTGATCTACCAACCCTGTGAAGAAACTTCATGAAGATGCTGTATGAGAGTCCAAGAGAGCAAAATTAGCCTCGCTCTCTGGGTAATCAGCATTGCCCACTCTACCCCTTTCAATCAGCACAATGCTAGTCAGCGCAGGCGTTAGCTCATGTAACAGAACCAGCGGTTTTTTACCTTTCGTTTACCTTGCTGTCGTTGCGTGAGCAGCAGTTCAAAAAGACCTCTGCTAGCCTTTACCCTTCTAGCACTGGTGGTATCGTCTGATTCGGGGAGTCCTAACAAGTGGGTGGAATTGGATAAGACTAAATTGGGGAAAAAAAAATTGGGGAAAAATCCAAATTAATTAATTAATAAAGATGAAGGAGATCTTTCATCATGGGCATGGAGTTGTCCACAACAACTGATGTTCTAAAAATCTTTCTTTGTTTTTTAGATACCAAAGTTCTGGTGAGTGACACATAGCTAGGTATATATGATCACTGATAGTAAGCATACTTATCTAGTTGGTGTTTCTTGTTTTAAAGGCAAATCAAGACTTCACCCTCCTCTTCAATGCTAAAACAGCCTTTAAGGGTGCGTTTATACTTGTAGCTCAAAGCAGAAGACGATACATTGTGTCGTTTTAGTTCTGGTTCACTTAGCATTCACAGTGACGTATCTAACATCAAACCAAAAGATGTCAACAAAATTCACACGAGAAAAAGTCACACCTCATTGGTCAGATTATATGACATGATAATGTTCACCTTCTGAAACTTCCTGTTGCCTGTTCTGTCTGGGCTCCTATGACATTAGAGCAAAAAGCCGTAAGACTCCTTGCATTACCATGGTTTTGCACAGCGGCCCAATACTGGAACTGAGCTGTTTTACGGATCTTTGCCAGAGACTAAAAACTGGTCCAGATCAACAAAGAATAGCATTACATCTGGACCTGAATTGCTGCAGGTCTAAATATTATCTTCATATCTGTGCCAAGTGTGGCATGGACCCAGTTCAGAAAAGGTTCAAGCTCGATTTAATGCAAGCAGCTCTTTCTGGAACTGATATTATGGGAAGATTAGCTAGATTAGTGGACTGGATCCGTATTGCCTGAAAATCTCCAGAGTTTCAGAAAAAAAAATAAAATAAAAGTGGCTACCAAAGCTCTTAAATAATAATCTCATGCATATGTATCAAGCTCAAGTCAGTATCTCATTCGCCAGCTCCTCATTTGAATTTTCCGTTCTACTTTAAATGGTGCTGCGGTTTCACTGAGGTGCCATCACTACAACCACAAATCAATCAAATCAAGTCAACACACTCAAATACACTGGTTAATGTCCTTTACAATTTTAAAAAGCGTTCAATGAAATGTGTTTCACAGCATGTGCTGATTGGTTACGCCTTTGTTATTTCATTACACACAGCCACAGCACAGCTGAATGACCTTGAGGTTGCCAACCAAAATGGGGGCTTAGTAAATGTTATTGTGATTTCTAGCCTCTTAACAATCAATGCTGGAATCCAAATCACTTAAAATTGCTACGATTCATCACTGCTGAACCATGAACTGATTGGTAAGCTTAAACATTTCTAAAGCACTCATTGAGGAAGCTCAGTATTTACAGTTACCCTCCAGTACCTGCTTTAACAACCCTACATTAAACTGAATCTGCTGATGGAGTCAAATAAATCCATGCGATGGCTGGAGTTGCAACGAAACGTTAGAAAACCAGCATGTGTTTTTAACTGTGTTCCTCTATTTATTGTATTAATAACTGCCGAAAAGATTGTGGAATTTAGTGATTATTTTGAAGATTAATCAAGTAATTTTTAACCTTTTAGAGTTCAACAGAATTCTAGAACACTTTGGGGTTCCTGACACTTTTCAGAATTGGAGGCATTTTGATCAATGTACTAGGAAAAATGACAATTACAAGATTGTTTGTTAAAGGTGCATGTCACTTCTTTAATATGAAAACAACACCAAGGACATAAAGCAACACAGAGCTATGAGCCCTGGACTGAAGGAAAAATGGACACTGAAACTCTGATAGCCATTGTAATCATAATATTGAAAATACATGATGAAAACGAGTCTACTACCTGAGGAGTACTGGCATTATTGTTCAGTTTAAAGTATGACCAATACATTGGTTGGCCCAAATCAACCAATCTCACTGGTCACAACCTCTCAAAGACTGGGTGACCTTAGAAGCAGGGTTGAATATTTGCTCTCTAGCAGACATGGAAGAAGTTGGAGCTAAAGAGGCGGCTCCAGGCTTTGGCTTTGGCAAAGAGGTGCAGGAGACCAGCTTTGGTGAAGAGGTGTAGATGGCTGGCTGTGGTGGAGAAGTGCAGGAGGCCGGCCCTGGCGGAGAGGTGCAGGAGGTCGGCCCTGGCGTAGAGGAGTAGGTGGCTGACTTTGGCCGAGAGGTGCAAGAGGCCAGCCCTGGTGGAAAGGTGCAGGAGGCCAGCTTTGGCAGAGAGGTGCAGGAGGCCAGCCCTGGCGGCGTAGAGGTGTAGGAGGCTGGCTTTGGCAGAGAGGTGCAGGAGGCCGGCCCTGGCGGAGAGGTGTAGGAGGCTGGCTTTGGCAGAGAGGTGCAGGAGGCTGGCCCTGGCGGAGAGGTGTAGGAGGCTGGCCCTGGTGGAGAGGTGTAGGAGGCTGGCCCTGGTGGAGAGGTGTAGGAGGCTGGCCCTGGTGGAGAGGTGCAGGAGACCAGCCCTAGTGAAGAGGCGTAGGAGGCCGGTCCTGGTGGAGAGGTGTAGGAGGCTGGCCCTGGTGGAGAGGTATAAGAGGCTGGTCCTGGTGGAGAGGTGTAGGAGGCTGGTCCTGGTGGAGAGGTGTAGGAGGCTGGCCCTAGTGGAGAGGTGTAGAAGGCTGACCGTGGCTGAGAGGTCTTTGGAGGCTGGCTTTGGCGGAGAGATGCAAGGAGGCCGGCCCTGGCCAAGAGGTCTTTGGAGGCCAGCTTTGGCAATAAGATGTAGGAGGCTGAATGTATTTTGTGAGGATGACTAAAGATTAATAATGCATGATGAGGCAGGTTTTAAGTACACTGTGAAATGCTTGAATGTAGTACCCCCTGAGAATCGAAACTAGAACATAGAACACAGTAGGGCTTATTATTTGGAACAAAAAAAAAGGGGTTTAATTTAGCTTTGTTCAGTAACAAAGATTCTGTTGGTACATTAATGATGTATTTTTTGTCTTTCATAGTCTAATGACAGATTATTTCAGATCAGATCATTATCATGCATTTAGAACATACAGTGGTAAGAAAACTGTATAAATTCATAGCTTTTACAAGCTTGTTCAGCCACGGATGTGAGGAAGGTGTGGCCATGCAGAGCGCCCACACACATGGGATCCTGGGAGGCGCTGCCCCCAGTAAGCAAGAGACTTCAGATCTAGTAAATGGTTGTTGCTCTTGGTTTAAGATGTGTGATTTGTTACATGTCCTATTTTGTGCTGGACTGTGGGGTGATGGTGTTTGTGCCTACTATCAGATTGAGTTGTATGGCTGCAGGTGACCTGCCTGCTATCTCAGACATTTCTGTAGCACTGTGAGTAAACATGATGATCCGGGTCTGAGCTTTTTACTGCATTTTACTGCATAAGAATACACAATACTTTAATAAAAATTGATGATGTAACTTTAAATTTTATGTCATTTTGTATCCTACATCAACAGCTTATCAGGCTTCCAGCAAATGTTTGGAAATCCCCATGTGTGAGTGTTTATGAATCTTGCATCATATTACAAACAAATTATTTTGTTGTTTTGTTAAATTTCAAACAAGTTTTGCTTTGCACTGAACTGTGATAATAATTCACTGAATTGAATAATAATAATAATAATAATAATAATAATAAC